TAATCAAATAGGAACAATTTCACTCAAAGTATACCTAACACAGGAGAACTATTGTCGTGAAAGTGTTGTATAGTCGATTACAAATTTAGATTGCAGAGAGTTTGTTCTGAGCGCTAAAGGCACTCACGATGGAGCACATTTTGCTTTATTCTAACAAAGAGGAAGAAGCTATTGTGGCCGATTTGGATCACCATCAAGAAAATGTCGACAGAGGAACCGATGATATTGGGAGCCTCGTTACTGATCTGGAGAACCTACAACTGAAGAACCCGCATCCTAGAGAGGTGGACGTGTTGTTCGTTGTTGTTCCTCCTTGATTAGGCTGAAATGATTGTCGAAGCTTTGTCTCAATTTGTGAAGCAATTTCGCCAATACTATCTAACAAGAGTGAGCAATGTTTTGTGATGCGATGGAATGTTGTGTTGACGGATTGAACTTCACAACGAGGGAGCAAGTGTTGCTTTTGAGGGAACAGGCACGATGGGGCATGTCGAGTCTGCTGGATTTCATGCGACGTCTCCTTATTATTTAAACCGGCGGCCGATACTACCAGAAAATGTGGCAAACTTTAATTTAGAATGCGCGCATCAATATCTTTTGTCCCCAAGTAAATAGTGGCCCAACACAATAATATCCCAATTTTATTCGAGGAAGTCGAATGAAATTGATCTGGATGGCCCGTGCCATGACATAATGTAGGAAAGCATAAGGAGGAAATATGAGTATCGAAGGCTTCATCAAGACAACAACTCATAATTATGTTTCTCGGAAGTCGGTGATTGATGGAGCGAGGCATGTTGAAATCAAGGGGCGATCAATAGTTAAAGATGGCGTTGTTGTAAGGGGTGATTTGGCTGTTGTTCGCATTGGTCGATACTGTGTCATCGAAAGCGGAACCGTCATAGAGCCTCCGCCGCATCCGTATGAAAAGTCGAAATATGTGCCTCTTGTAGTTGGTAGTCACACTCATATCGGATCAAAAAGTCAGATATATGCTGCAGCTATCGGTAGCATGGTTTGGATTGGCGACAATGTCAAGTTGGGGAAAAGGTGTATCATCAAGGACAACTGTGTCATCGAATCTGGAACTGAAATTGGTGATGGCACTGTAGTTCCGCCATTCACTAGAATTTCGAATAGAAAGACTGCCGCTTATCAAGAACTCCCACCAAGCATTGCTGTTCAGATACAGGAGGTTTCAATTTCAAGATTTGATGAATTCAAAAAACTAAACCTTCAATGAAGATCGCGAACAAACATTGAATAAAATAGATCTATTGGCTCCCAAAAGTCGTACTGGTTGCCGAATAACAATTTACAACCACATGGAGTTGACATTTTGACTCGAAATAGAAGATTTATCAGCCATGGTCCTAGGCCTACCGGTAGCTTTTAATAGTAGTAAAATTGCTATCTGTCCATGATCATGTAAAAGACGCTTTACAGTATATGTGACCGCTCAAAATTCCTCCTCGATAGCTATCGTGCTCTATCTATTTACATGTACTCTTCGACCATTTCACAAAGCCTTTGAGTGTTGGCGCCCTATAGACCCAGAACAGAAACGGATTCCGGCACAACGAAACGAGGTGAGATTCGAATGAAGGATGCGCAACGAATGGCGTTTGTGCCCTACCGGGATCCTTCTTTCAATGACATACACTAACAAATTCTAACAGTAACCGATGAGTTGACTTCCGTACTGGTATTGCTTGTGTTTCTCCACCTCCGCCTTCCGTAGCATCTTCCAAGTGACCATCGCTGTCTCCAAGTGGATCTGTTTGTCTCCCTCACAGCATCACTGTCTTATCACACAGGATTTCATGACGACTCTATTCACTACATATATTGATTTAAACAGCTGGTCTGGTTGCATTCTTTTTTAAGTAACGAGCCCTTCCTAAAGCTATTTTTACATGTGCTCTTCAATCAACTCACGAAGTCTTTGAGGATTAGCGCCTTGCAATCTAATATCCAGCGGAAGTCAGAAACCACAATAAAGTAGCAATAAAGTAGCAGCAGTTACGGGTATGACTCACCTATCCACTACTGCACCAGCCTTGACAAAAACAAAAGTCCTGTTCATTCCCCAACAGCAGAGTTAGTTCACCACAACCAAGCGATGACAAAAGCAAAGGTACGAATAGTTCTTCTTACGGCATTGCACTATTGACACAATGTGAGAATACAAGAAAGGCAAGCGAATGATGAACAAACAATGGACAGGATACAATACAAAGGCAAACCTTTTGAACCAAGGTTCAGAGCCCTCAGAGCCTTAATACACATACCTGACAGAGAACCTTTGGGCAATTCCCGGAGCTTCATCCACGTCGCACTATTTCCGGTGTTAGATAGGCTAAGTTATTTTCGTCATTCATATGGATCCCTTGTTCAGCCGAAATCTGAAAAACACGCACCTTCACAAATACTACATCGTCGATCTCTTTACTCAAAGCTTCAAACATTGGAGCGATGGCTCTTTAGACATTCTGTTAGAAAGGGAACGACTGGATTGTAGAGACAACAATGAATTCCTACCTGCATGGGCCACACCACGTTGCCGTAAAATCAATGACAGTAAGCTTTGCTTGCAGGGCCGCATCGCTTAATACAGAATCGATTTCCGAGTCAGAAGGGGTCAAGATCTCTCCACCGCGAAGATCGCTCGACACTGTATTCAAAGTCTTTAAGCTTACCCCAAAGACATTTTTGCCTGGACAGCTTGTTTGTGGAGTTGGTGTCCCGTATCCCTGCGAGAAAATGGAAAACAGAAAGAACAGATTGAAGAAACGGGCCATCATAAAGGTGCTGTAATGTGTCGTATAGGTACTTCTGGACCGTGTGGCAAAAACGTGTATTTCGAGATTCTCCGACTATCGAACTTTCGTGTTTTCGCGCGGACAAGACGAACGTTATAATATGACCCGTAAGAATTTCCCGGGTACTTTTAGGGAACTTTCACAAATGAAGGCTACCGTGCTATTGCACACGCATGCAATGGTTCGTGTCCGTAAGTGAACGGGATCGGCCTTCGCGGAAGCCTGTCGATGAAACGACGATAACAACACTCTTTTTAAGAATACGATTCGATCTACATTACTATCTTTGACATCTACTACTTCGTAAGTCAACACCCTCGTAATAACATAACGATTACATTTATATGGTTTATCAGACCCAGCAATAACTGCCAAAAGTTATCCGACAAACGAAACGAAAATGAATACGTTTGAAATGTATTGAAATGTATTGAAATGTATTGAAATGTATTGAAATGTATCGAAATGTATCGAAATGTATCGAAATGCAATGCCATCAAACATTATGAACGTAATAATGAACATGATCACAAATACGAAATGACATCAAATGTTATGAACATTATGATGAACGGTGCTGAGCAACACCAACGAAAACTGTCACGAATGATGGTGCTGAGCAACACCAACGAAAACTGCCACGAATGGTGCTGAGCAACACCAATGAAAACTGCCACGAATCGTGCTGAACAACACCAACGAAAACTGTTACGAATCGTGCTGAACAACACCAACAAAAACTGTTACAAATGAAAAGAAATGTGAACTAACAACTTGATGTATGACATTGATACAGGCAACATGGCCGCTGTTCCTCCTTTCTTCACTGTACACGACGACATGGTCATCTGTGGCATTGACAATGTCACCCTTTTCCAAGGACGCACACAAGCCGAGAGAATTGCTTACGAAATATTCTCGGACGATTTCACCACAACGATGGACAGCACCATTGACGAACTAAACGAAGAGTTCAAGACCCTCGCAGGATTGACGATTGCGCAAGGACAGATACGCTTAATGCCAGCTATCAAAAAGAACATCCGCGCATTCATCCAATGGTGCAGAGACGAGATTTGCATGGGACGAGACCCTACCACAACGCCATTCCCCGTCGTTGATGCAGCCAAACTGCTCAGACGCATAGAAACACACGAACAATACGTGTATGGCTCCAAGTTGATGTCGCAACAAGCACTACCACAAGATTTCACCAACGATGTCCAATGGGAAGATTGGTGCCCAACGTTCGAAAATTACCTTCGCACCATACCAGGAAGAGACGGTGTGCCACTAAGCTACATTGTGAGAATGAACGATACAGGAATGCTCACCCTGCACGAAGATTTCTTGGAAATCTACATCAACATGGCACCACACGTTGGCGAAGCATACGTCATGGATAACGCCAAAGTCCTAGTCCTTCTCAGCAAGTTTATCGTGGGGAATACCGAAGCTGAAGCGACTCTCCAAGCCATCAACATTGCAGGCAATGGAAGAGAAGCATTCAACGCACTACGTACCCACTACGAAGGCGAAGGAATCCTAGCCAGCGACATTGTCGAAGCCGAACACACCATCAAAGAACTGTGTTACGTTGGCGAAAAACCAAAAATGAACTGGTCCATGTTTGAACGAATCTTAAAGAAAGTGTATGCAACATGCGACAAACATGAGGGGAGAGAAGTCCATTCAGACGCAATGAAACTGCGTAGCCTACAAAACAAGGTTACAGCACCATTCCTACAACTGAACAAGACGGCAATCGATACGGAAATTGGCAAAAGACCGATGTTGATGACTTTCACGACAGCATTACGAATCTACCGAACTGCAGTGAGAGAAAAGTTTCCCCAAGGAACCAGCAATGCAACCGATAGGGGACGATACTTGGGCGAAACTAGGGCTGACAACGATCGCGACAGAAGCAGAAGCCGAAACGATGGAGGAGGCAACAAACGTCGCGACGAAGAAGAAATTACTCTGAGTAATGGAGAGAAGATCTGGTACCATCCTAGCTACCGTTTCTCTCGGACACACCTACAAGTGTTTACCAACAAGCAACGCGAGCGTATGGCAAAGGAAAGAGCCGCATACAGAGAAAGTCAAGGATTGCCAGCAAGAAGGGCAACGGGACAAGCTGCACAAACGCAACAAGTGGAAACGCAGCTGGCGGAATTGCGAGCCGAAGTAGCATCAATTAGATCCAACAACGTGCCTGCTACAATTCCAGCCAAAGCAGCCACGCAGATATCACAAGTGACTATGGGAACGACTGGAACTACAGCAATGGGCGGACGCGACCAACAGGCAAACAACCAACAGGCAAGCGGTAGAACCTGAAACGCGATAAGTGAGATCAGACGAATCGTAAGGGTGATCTCATCCAACACAGCCGCATCCCAGCGACCAGTGCAACAACCAACACCAGGAACGACGGCGAGCAATGAAATGGATACTAACGCCGACACTTGTTGCCTTGGCAAGAACTTTGTTATCATGAGCTACACACCAAGATCGGCGGATGTGTACGCGTACGACCCAGCTCTACCACCAACCAATGTACCAATTGTATCTGGGGCGACCGCTTATGACTGCCCACAGAGCGGCAACACGTTCATATTGATATTTAACGAAGCGCTTTACTATGGGAACCGGTTAGATCATTCATTGATCAACCCAAACCAAGTCCGCAAGTTCGGAATTCCCCTATGGGATAATCCGTTTGATGAGATGAGGAATATTGGCATCGAAACCAAGCCAATATTTGTTGCACTCAAGGCAAAGGGGACAAAGTTACTATTTGATTCAAGGGCCCCAACTGATCAAGAACTCGCAAATTGCCCCCACATTGATATGACGAGCAAAGTGCCTTGGAACCCAGGGACTGTACAACTTGGGAAAATCTCAATAGCCCACAAAGACCCACCAATAGATGACCCAAGATCCAACGAAGCTGAATTGAGACAATTGGATCCAATCATGCAAGGAATGAACGAGTGGCGCACGGTACAGCAGACAATAGTCAATGGGGAGAGATTCTTCCAACAAGTTGGACGAATGGACGATGATGCACGATTTGCCGACGTACCTGTGAGGCCGTCCATTGTATCCACGGAACGACACACCAAAGCAACGGCAGAAAACCTATCTGAACGACTAGGAATCGGTTTACACAGAGCACGCGCCACCTTGAGATCAACACTACAAAGGGGAACACGATCCGCCATACTACCACTGGCAAGGAGGTACCGAGCAGACCGCATGTTCCTAAGACCAAGACTGAAAGGCAAGTTCTCAACCGACACAGCCTATTTCAACCACAAGTCGATACGAGGCAACATCGCAAGCCAGATCTATTTCCACAAGAGCGGTTTCTACAGTTGCCATCATCTCTCAAAAGTGGACGACAAGCAAGTTGGGCCGACCCTCAAGAAATTCATAGCTGACTACGGTATACCAGAGCACCTCACGATGGACGGAGCAGCAGTACAAGTGGGACGCAACACGAGCTTTATGGAAACGATCAACAGAGCCGCGATTAACTACCACATCTCCAGACCATACCGACCGGAAGAAAACCCAGCCGAAGGGGGAATCAGAGAGCTCAAGCGACGATTCTACAGATTGATAGTCAAGCATGCGATACCAGAACGGCTATGGGACTTTGTGCTCGATTATGTGGTTGATACCATGAACATCACCGCTAACTACTCAAGATATTCTGACGGACGAGTACCGCTTGAAGTGATCACTGGCATCACGCCGGACATTACAGAATACATGGACTTTACGATTTATGGATGGGTATACTACCGCACAGACGGCGCCTTGGGCCCAAACGAAATAGGACGATGGTTGGGAGTGTCACACAGGACGGGTCCAATGATGACGTATTGGATATTACCGAGGAGTGGCCGCCCAATCTCGACTGACACTGTCCAGAACATCTCAGAAACAGAGAAACAGACCGACGTGGTCAAAGAACAAATGGCGCAATGGACAACCGATGTATCCAAAATCCTTGATGCAAGGACAGGAGACATCAGTTGGGGGAAAGATGAGATACCGCCACAATTGATGTTCGACCTCGGATTGGAAGACAAAGAATTCAAATGCAACTTCAACGAGTTGATCAAGGCCGAAGATGTTGACGATGGCACGCTCCAGGGGACCACAGAGACTGACAACATCGACGCACAGAACTGCGTCAACATGGAGATTGGCCTAAGACGGGGACAAGAAGGGGAGTTGCAACGTGCAGTTGTACGCAGGAGAATCATTGATGCAGAAGGAAACCCAATTGGTGTAGCAAACAACAACCAGTTACTCGACACGAGACAGTACGAAGTCGAATACGAAGATGGAAGCACCGAAGTGCTCGCTGCGAACTTGCTAGCAGAGAACTTATTAGCACAAGTGGACGAACATGGACACAGACACTTACCAATGGAGGAGATCACGGAACATTGCTCTGATGAGAAGGCAGTAAAGATGAAAGATGCTTTCTATCCCCTCGCAAGTGGAACGCAACGAAGACGACACACGACAGCAGGATGGGACTTCTACGTTACTTGGAAAGATGGTTCCTCAAATTGGATACCTTTGAAAGATATGAAGGAGTCTTTCCCGATTGAAGTGGCCGATTACGCGATAAGCAAGGGCATCCAAGACGAACCTGCTTTTGCATGGTGGATCCCACACCTTGTTCAAAAGCGAAAGCTATTCCTTGGCAAAGTAAAATTGAAGTACTGGGAACGTACGCACAAGTACGGAATACGTATCCCAAAATCGATCAAAGAGGCCATCGAAATCGACAAAGCAAATGGGGACACGCTATGGCAAGACTCAATTCAAATGGAGATGAAAAACAATCGAGTCGCTTTTGAAGAATTCGATGGAGACGTAGAGAAGCTGATGGGATACAAAAAGATCACGGGACACCTAGTATTTGACGTGAAACTAGGGGAAAACTTCCGAAGGAAAGCAAGGTACTGCGCTGATAGACACAAGACTGAAGCACCCGCAGCATTGACCTACAGTACGGTAGTGTCCCGCGATTCAGTTCGGATACTACTAATGATAGCAGCGCTAAACGGATTAAACTTGCAATGCGCGGATATTCAAAACGCATTCCTCACTGCACCAGCGATCGAAAAGTGCTACCTGGTAGCAGGACCCGAGTTTGGTGAAGAAGAAGGCAAAGTATTTATCGTAAGACGAGCATTATATGGCTTAAAAAGTTCATCCGCAGCATTCAGATCACACCTGGCGGAGACTTTGGAGGATTTGGGCTTCAGCTCATCAACTGCCGGCCCAGACGTTTGGATGTGAGCGGCAGTGAAACCTGACGGCGAGGAATACTACGAATACATCCTTTGCTACGTCGACGACATCCTTTGTATGTCGATGAAAGCCAAAGAAGTGATGGAAGGAATTGGAAGGGTATTCAAGTTCAAGAAAGGGAAGATTGAACCTCCAGAAAGCTACTTGGGAGCTAGGTTACGAAAGAAGACTTTGGATGGACACGACATGTGGACGATGTCAAGTTATGACTACGTCGTGGCAGCAGTCAAAAACGTCAAGGAAACATTAAAGGACAACCCAAAGTGGAAAATGCCCAAGAATGCGCCAACGCCGATGACTAGTGCATATGAACCGGAGATGGATGGATCAAGCAAATTAGGACGAGAAGACCATACCTACTTCCAAGAGTTGATTGGAATATTACGATGGGCGACAGAGATTGGACGAGTCGATATCTTACTGGAAGTATCACTCCTGAGCCAGTATCAAGCAGCTCCAAGGGAAGGACACATGGAACAAGCATTGAGGATATTTGCTTTCTTGGACACCTTCCCAAAATTGACCCTTTATTACGACTGGAGGACGCCAAACGTAGACTATTCCAAGTTGAGATCCTCCAGGGAAGATTTCAAGGCATACTACCGAGATGCGACGGAAGAGATGCCACACAACACACCCAAACCAAGGGGACAAAGTGTAGGAAGTACTGCATGGGTAGATGCTTCACATGGCGCCAATAAGAAAACGCGGAAATCACATACAGGGTACATAATTTTCCTCAATCGGGCACCTATCTTATGGCACAGCAAGCGACAGAATACGGTAGAAGCGAGTACTTTTGGTTCCGAATTCATTGCTTTGAAGTCATGCATCAAAGCGATCACGCATTTGAGATTCAAATTGAGGATGTTCGGAATACCTTTGGAAGAAGGACCATCGCACGTATTCTGCGACAACGAGAGAGTGGTGACAAATTCAACAATGGTCGAATCCACTTTGAACAAGAAGCATAATTCGATTGCTTATCATTACACCAGGTGGAACGTGGCTGCAGGAGTTGTCGACGTATCGTGGATTGCAGGAATGTTGAACCTTGCTGATGCCTTCACGAAATGATTGACACTAGAAAGGAGAGGGCGACTATTTGGGGAATGGACGTACTAGACAAATTATCGAACTGGATCCCAACGTTGGAACCCAATTCGAGGGGACCAAATGAAGGCTACCGTGCTATTGCACACGCATGCAATGGTTCGTGGGATAACGGTGCGGTGCGGTGCTGTGACCTTGTTTAGCGTGAATGTTTAGCGTGGATTTGGACCTATCAAAGTACTTTCACGCTAAACATGAATTGGACGATCGAAGTGCAGACGACGATATTCAAATAGCCAAACCTCACCACAATGACAATTCAACTCTACACTGGCTTAGAATTAGATCGAATTTTGTAGTCGAATGTTAATATATTGTATTTACCTTGTTGTGGATGTCATGGGAGGAGGTTGTTGCCTAGATACAACTGGAAACCTGGTCATTCTTATTCCTGGTGACGGGGCAACAAGCAACAATGCACACCAATCATTCAGCCATGATCTGTAGGTTTTCGTCATATTTGATTTGCCAGGCGGGTTGTCACATTCCACAGTACTCTTCCATGTATCATCTTTGAGCGCCATTTTGAGGAAGCATGCTGGCTTGTAGGTATCAATCATTGGAGAATTGTCGCCAAGCAATTGCTGCTGCTACCACTGAAACCTTGTATTGCATCAGCTACAGTCGCAAGTTCCTTCATATGTTGTGCATTCTTGGTATCTCACATAATTCGCCTGAAAGCTCCCCAGTTCTGATTTCTTTCACTCTGCTCAGTTGATGACAGGCAGTGCCCATGCTGATTTGCAAGCCAAATAGAAGATTCACAAAACAACCGCATTCCATTTGCTGGCAAGAGTTTGCCTCCATCCGCTTCGTCGTCTGGAAATCTCAGATATTCTCATTTCTTTTAGTCTGCACAGTGGACGGCAGCGCTCATGCCGATCTTCGAAGCCAATGAGCAAGGAGATAGCAAGACAATATTATTCCCCTTGCGCGCAACACCGACTCCAGTAGTATCCACCTTGTTCGTTTCAGCCCCCACAGCGGTAGATTGTTGGCGAAACGTATGTTTCTTCCTCTGCTTCAGTTCATATCTTGTCTTCTTCTTCATTTGATGGCTCGGTTTTGGGTAACAAGGCTCGCCAGCACTGTGGTTTCACCTCGTTGGATTACAAGAAAAACACATCAAAATTGCCAACTGCCTCCGGCAGCTGTCATCATCAATCTATTCTTTGTCTCCCGTCCTCAGTTTCATTTGTCGTTCGCTATGAGGAAGCTTGTGAAAACAAGTAGCTACTGTATGGTCGTGAATGATTTGGTTAACGATTTTGTAGTGTCATCCATCATCTTGTATATCCGGGTTACTTTGGGGCATGTGATCATCATTGGCCTCGCGACCTTCGGTCGCTCCGCCAAATAGTTTTACGTGCAAGGTCGTTGGAGGGATCTGGCGGGAGGGATGAAGTGCGTAGGATTGCTACGAGAAGCTACACAGTCATGCAAAATTGGGAAATCCGAGAACCGTTCACACACGCATGACACAAAATCATAGCACCGATTTTTTGCCCGGGATTGGCCTTCGCGGAAGCCTGTCGATGAAACGACGATAGCAACACTCTTTTTAAGAATACGATTTGATCTACATTACTATCTTTAACATCTACTACTTCGTAAGTCAACACCCTCGTAATAACATAACGATTACATTTATATGTTTTGATATCCTTAAGTGTCGCAATATCACCATCGATGACCGCTACAAAAATTCATGATTCGAAAATGCGAACAGTTTCATCATCGAATAGAGACAGGTATATAGGCACACATCCAAAGAAACCATCAACAACACAAAAACAACGACAATAACGACAAAATGCCGTCTACTCCGTCAAGGTCATCTTCTCGTGGATCAAAAAAGAGCAGGAGCTCAAAAAGTAAAAGAAGGTTAGGTAACCTTGATATATGGGATGGTTCTGCAAACTTGAAGGAAACCACAGCAGATGCCCTGTGGAACTCAAAGAGTCAAAGTAGAAGTTTTGATAGCTTTGATACATGGGATACTGCCGACTTGGGGGAAATCCCAGAGCATTCCGACTTTGTAGAGATTCCAGAAGGCTTACGAAGAGAGAGCCTGACCAGGGACTACTCAGTGAAGACAGATGGCAACTCCGTCACTCGATCCGAAAAAGATCGGCGGCAAGAGGCCAAGCTGAGGGTTGATGAAGCCTTTATTCAGTACTCGATTGTGGAGAATGCAGCGAGAAGGATCCAGGAAAACTTTCGGAGGAATAGACTCGAACGGGAGAAGCTCGAAGGGGAGGCTGAGAAGGTCATCGACACAACCGAAGACGAGGATTTCCAGGAAGTGGAGGAGAAAGAAAATGAGCCAGGGAAATGGTACACCCTCATCTTTTTGGTGGCATTTGCTCTTTACCCTTATATCAGCGGTCTTTTGAGCTGCCTCAGGAAGTGTGGTGGGGGAAATGATACCAATCCAGGTGTGTGTGGATGTCCATTTGTTGAGCAGGACATTTCGAAGATTTGACTGACTTCTTTCGTCACACTTTTCTCAGATGTTGTTCCAGTGGATGGGATGATGAATGCAGGTGGTTCACCACCGCCTGCCGGTGGAGGAGGGGGCGGTGGCGGCGGTGCACCTCCTCCTGGATTGGAAGCAATGGCTGGTCAGGCGGCTGGAGCCGCCAGTGGTTCTGCGGGGGCCGGTGCATCAGCTGGTAAGTTTTGGAATCATCAATTCTTCACAGCACAGACTTGTAGATACACCTCGTTCTCATCATTGCCCTTTCTCTGTTTTGCTCTGCATAGGAGCCGCTGCTGGGGCTGCAGCTGCGTCTGCTGGTAAGTTTTGCAATCTTTGGTTGTTGTCAGTAAGAATTCAGCTTCAATTTTCTCACCATCACCCTCTCTCTATGATTCACTCAATAGGAGCGGCGGGAGCTGCAGGTGCTGCCGGAGCGGCTGCTGGGGCAGTATCACAGGTTGTGGCTGTGGTAGCTGTCTCTTCGGGTAAGTAATGTCATTTCACTCTCTCTAGCCTACGATCGAATAAGATTCTCACCAGCTCATTCTGGATCCTTAGCTGTGGCAACGGCGGCAACTACAGCAGGGCTCTTGAGTCCGACTATACCCGCACCGGTAGTCATTGCAACAAGATGCGGACTAATCAATCCTCAGACGCGGATCGGAAAGTTCGCCATGGTGTTTGAAGGATTCGATCGGACTCTTGAGTCAAGAGAAACTGCTCTCTTGGAGGGACTTGTTCTCGATGCTTACAATGATCTTACCATGGGCGAAAAATTTGAGGAGACAGGGAGTTGCTTGGATCCATTGGCTAGAGAAATGCTTGGAACTAAGATCATCAACCAGACCTATGCACCGTTGATTGACGGATTGGATGGATCCCAGTACTTGGAGCTTTTCTTTGAAACAGAGATTGTGTGTGACAAGTGCCTGGCGTCCCGACCATTGTTCAAGAACGAGCAAGACCAAGGACTCGTGGAAGAAGAGCAAAGACAAAAGGAACAAGAACAGCAGCAGCAGCAACAACAACAACAACAACAACAAGGAAATGAGACAAAAGCGAACGGGACCCAGGTAGAAGAACCAACTCAAAACACGACTAGGCTCTTGCGCGGACGGTCGAGACACTTGCAAGATACAGGGGACCAGTTTCAAGATGCTCTGGAAGAGCAGCTAGCTTCGTTTGATGTTAGTGGAGCAGACTTCTTTCAACGCCTGATTCAAAAGGTCATTTTTGCAACCGAAGATCTGAGTGAGGTAGGCGAGTTACCGTCTGGCTTTGTTGGAGTTGCGCAGGCCTACGTCACCCCAACACCAGAAGAGAATGGTGTAAATGAGAGCGCGAGTGGAGGAGGTGGCGGCAGTAGTGGATCCTCGCCAGACGATGATAAGTTGTTTACTCGAGTCAAGTTTCAAAAGCAAGGTGAAAAAGGAGCATTTGAGTTCACTTTTGTGGATGAAGAAAGTGGAGAAACAGTACAGAGAACAGTGGTGGTTGATCCGACTGACCCAGAATCTATTCCTGTCCCAACAACTTCATTGCCTACATTTGCGCCCACAAAGGAGCCCACTCTCAGTCCGAGTACAGTTCCAACAATCACCTTTTCTGGCCAACCGACAATTGAACCATCCAAGAGTCCATCTACAGTACCATCCCAAACTCCAAGTGAGGTACCAAGTGATGTTCCAAGTGTCGAACCGTCATCTGTGCCGTCAGACGTACCCAGCGTTAGTCCCAGCGAGAGTCCAAGCGATGTACCATCCTCATTGCCTTCCATGATACCAAGTTTTGTGCCCAGCGAGACACCAAGTTCCGTTCCTAGTACATTACCTTCGATGATTCCTTCTTTCGTTCCTTCTTTTGTGCCTTCAGAGGTTCCTAGTGTTGGTGAGTTACTTTCTCTTTTTTGTTGCCTCGATTGCCATTCATTTCTACGCAACTCGTTCTCACATTGATTTCACACAGTCCCAAGTACAAGTCCATCGGATGTTCCCTCTGTGATTCCGAGTGACGCTCCTTCAACTAATCCCAGCTCCCAGCCCTCAGACAGTCCCAGTCTCAATCCAAGTTCCCAACCCACAGATGTTCCTAGTCTCCGGCCCAGTCTCGGGCCCACAAACAGTCCAAGTTTTGAACCTAGTCTTTCGATGGTTCCGTCGATGGTACCAACCCAGTGCGCCTGCTCAGCCGGTTGGATTTCATCTGGGAGTTTGGGCTGTTCGACCGCAATGGTTACGCCTGAACAAGCAGCAACTTTGTCAGTGTCGGGACAGAGATTCACCTTTACAATGCCATCTCTTCCACAAGCAACGGGGACCGTATATATCAATGCGTCCTATGAGGGGGATATTGACTCTGGGGTTTGTGGTGTCGAGTTTGTGCGAATCGAAGCTAACGGTTCATCATTTTCAAGTAGCTGTCAATTCGGAGGTGTCAGCTCCACTACCAGATACAACCACTACACGACAATGTCAGCAGCTGAGTTCAACAGCAAGCTATCCGGTGGTAGTATCGTCATTGACCTGCAGACTAGCATTGATGTCAACCCAGGCATTGGGATTGGTTATGCTTCGGCGCAGTTGGTCTACTGTGCATAAGGTTTCTCCATTTCAAATAAGATAGAATAGAACAACATCGTACGACCTAGCATAAACTACTAAAAGTGCTTTCTTGTGATTTTCTCTACATTTCATTTGGTTGGCAAAGGTCGAGCTGAGGATGGAGTAGCTGCCTGCACTCTGACTGAGATCAAGACGATCTGTTCTATCGGTATTCACATTAGCGTCCTCATGTACTACGAAGGCTCAGCTGCTTTTGAAACTTGCATTGGGATTGGCCAACATATTTGTATGTAGTGTACCGGTATTGCATGGTTTTCGACGTCGCGAAGAGCTTTGTTAGCGTTTGATGACGTCTCGTCGAACTTTCCATCACCATCCACAAAATTTGAATTTTATGCCGCTTTTGCTTTTGAAACGTTATCGATTGACGCGAAACACAGACTGAGATTAGAATGGAGTTGAGAAAGTGCGAAGAGTTGGTGAATGAGTTGTCGGGGCTATACGAATCGCTTCGCAAGGCATCTAAAATCAAGGAAGAATTGCTTCCAAAGCTGAAAGGGGTCAATGGAGAAGCTTTGGAAGGCGCGGAGACAGACGCAGACGACTCAACGGATGCTGCCAAAACCAATCCGCCCCATTCCCTTGCCAACGCAGTTGAGCTAATACACCATGTTCAAAAGATTCTACAAGAGTTGGAACCAAAGATGGACAAGTTTCAGAAACGGTTGGACGAAAAGGATCCAATTTCTGGCAATCCACGATATGGAGAAAAGACACAACAACGAGTCACCTATATTCTTCATATTTACAACTCTGTAAAGCAGTATGTCCCAGACGACAGGATTTCAGCAGCTGAGGGCACTGTCACCAACAGTACGGATGTGTTATTAGACAATCCATTACGTCTCTTGGAAAAACAATATCTCAAAGAGCAAGAGGAACACAAGATGCAAATCGAACTAGAGGAAAAGCAGGCTATAGAGGAACAAACAAAAATAGCAGAAGACGAAAGGAGACGGCAGTTTGAGGCAGAACAGAAACAAAAACAACAAAAGGAGGAAGAAGAAAGAGTACTACGAGAAGAACGAGAAAGGCTACACCAACAAGCGGAACAAGTCCGTCAGGAAAGGGCCGTGCAGCACCGACAAGAACAAGAATGGTTCGAGAGCATTCAAAAGGGACCTGAAGGAGTGAAGCATTACCTCGAGAAGCTGAAACAATCAACAAGTGACCAACCAGCCCTTGTTCACACAAAAGCTGTCGAAAGTCTATATCGCATATTCCAGCAAATCAATGCCCACCCCGAAGAAACCAAGTTTCGACGGATCCGTCGTGACCATGAACAGTTTGTTGAAGATGTTGGACGTCATGGCGGTGGAATAGAAGTGTTGATTGCCGCTGGTTTTGTATTGGGTGCCATAGACGACGTTCCCTGTTACTTGTCTATTGAGCCAAACATTGAAAAGGACATGGATGGTTGGTCAAAGTGGTTTGATGTCAACAAAGCGACTTTCGAGGTCTTGGAAGAAGCGGTGCAAAATTTGAAATCGACAAAATGAACCCTAAAAAAGAATATACTAAGAATATGAGGACTTTTTAGCTGCCTTCGTTTGGGTCTCAATTGTACTCGTACCAGGTACCAGGGTACTGGTACCAGGGTACTCTTACCGGTACTTTCCTTTTTGAGTGTCGATCATGAGTCTCGTCATAAATTTTTGTGAAACCGCGTGATCGAAAGAGTCGAACCACATTTTGACTGATAATACACGTCAGATACGAAGACAGAAATCACACAGTGTTGTTACCCATTCTACATCCCGCTGGTTGTGTTGTATTAGATCTGTCTCGTCGATAATGTCCTACATTGACCCATCCATCAAATACATTGGATACACTGGATGTTACACCGAGCCCAAGCAGGCCGATCCGTTTGGAGGTATGGGAGGAGTACCTCACGACGTGTCCAAGATTGGGACTGGAATTCAAGTTATTGGAGTCTCCAAGGACGGCAAACTTTGCTATATTGGAGGTAATGAAACCGGAGGAAGGGTAAATATTCAGAAGTCGACTGGTGAAAAACTGGATGAAGTGGACTATGATAGTTTGGGGCTTTCCAATCCATCTTATCTGGAAATTTCTGAGAGCGACAGTAACGGGAAACGCTACTTGTGCACGGCAAGCGAAGTTGATAAGGGTGCCAAGATGTATTCCTTTGTGGTCGATCCAACTAAAAATTCTACCCGTCTAATCCACCTGTCAACGATCCCCGTCGATACCTCGTATCCGTGCCATTTCGGTATGATATCTGACCCACTTGGCAGTGATCATAAGGACCAAGTCTTGACCGTCATGTGCAGCTATGGCCGAGATGAAGACAATGCTGGCGTTTCAACCTTTCTAATCAAGAGTAAGGATGCTGGTGACTCTGAATGCGTGTCCAAAATCCAAGAAATAGTCTACAATGGAAATGGATCCAAGTCCAAATTGGATCGACAACTTTCATCCCATGCTCATTCGACAGCAACTTGTCCTGGAGTTCCCGATGAAATATTCATGGCCGATCTGGGAAAGGATGCTATCATTCAGTATCAGCTCGAACCAGCCATTGCATCAGGAGGTAAATCGGTCGTCAACTTGAAAGAAAGTGGCAAATTAGGTGTCCCATTGGGATCTGGACCCAGATCATTGACATTCCGCCCAAGCGCTAGTGACGCTGTCTTCTCCGAGAGGGGAGTCATTGGGGTAGTCAGTTTGGAAATCAAGGCGTCCCTCTTGCTGGTCCGCCGTCGATCCCATGACGGATGCTTGGAAATTTTACAACCGCCGGTTTCCGTTTTACCGGAAGCTTGGCCAAAAGACGAGAGCATTGCCAAGTTCAACAAAGGTCGCTGGGCGTCCGACGTTGTCTGGTCTCCCTGTGGCAAGTTTGTGTTTGCTGCTGCCCGATTACACAATTCCATTTCCATTTTTGAACTGAAAAATCGTAAGAATGACGATGGAGAATCCGAATTTTGTTTGGAACTCAAGGAGCGAGTCTCTACTGGAGGCCAAACTCCCCGTTGTTTGTGCATGTCCCCTGAAGGAGACTTTCTTTTGATTGCTCACCAACATTCCCATGATATTACCTGTTTCCAAATTGATAATGAGAATGGAAAGTTGACCTTGACAGACAAGTTGGAGCATCCTTTGGCAGCTTGCCTGAAACTTATTCCGGCCTAAAACTATTTAAACCACCAATTGAAACAGGGCTATTATGGCAAACTGTTGCACTGAGGCTAAGATCAATGCTTCAATATTTCATAACAGTAGTGGCTACTGACTTTTTAAATCCAAACTACTATATTTGTTGGGTCGAGTTTTGCAAAATTTCCATCTTGGCCCCCCGCAAATGATGCACCTTGCGAAGTTCCACAAACTCCTTGACGAAATCATCGACAGAAGCCGCTCCATCCTGAATCCATTCCTCGGCATATTCTTCCGCTTTCTCAAAGGCTTCCTTCTTGGCCTTGTTCAGTTTCTTAAGCGTAATCTTTTTGTCGGGAGGCTGACACAAGTCGTTTTGTTGCTTTTCTAAAACTTCAAATGCTGTGATCTTTTCGTGCAGTTCCTTTTGTTTTGCTGCAACGCTTTGATGGAGCTCCTTCAATTCGGACTCCTTACTCAAGTTTTCTTCTGCCAACTTTTTAACTTCCTCCGCTTTACCAGAACGTATTGTTTGCAATTCTTCATACACTGGCAATGCTTGCACATATGCCTGGAAGGCGAAGTCTTCTCCCATCTTGCTGTCCAATTCGTCCCTTTCCATAGTATCGACCGTCGGAAAGGTTTGTGGTATAGCCGGAAGCGGGACATCTGGGGGAGGATTTGGCCGTGGAGGTGTGTTGGTTTGTTTGGCAAAAATTTCGTAGCTCGGCGGTGCTTGACTCCCTTGTTGCTGCTGTTGATGCTGCTGTTGATACCGAGGGGGTGTCTGTGCCGTTCCATTGTGCAGCCCATCATTCGCAGGTGGCGTAGTCTTTTTGGTTTTGGTTTGAACTGATTCCAAACCACGATCGGTGAATTCCAAAATTTGCGGGGGATTCAATTGAAAGTATTTGACCACATCGTGAACTGCATTTCCTAGCAATAGACCGCATTCGTTCCAAGCATGTTCTGATTGAATAGGATCATAACCCGTAACTCGCATTCGTTGAGGCTCGACCCAGGGATGTTTGCAACGAACTCCGGCCAAAGTCATGGCTGGACAGAAACTGGCAAAGGATGACTGTAATGGCATATTGACTCGCAAAATCAAGGTATCGCCCTCTGTCGTTTGAAAAACAGTGTCGTACGTCGTGTCATCTGATGTTTGTTCAGGTTGTAAATTTGGTTTCAGAAAGCATTGAAATATCAAAAATCCAAAGAGAAAAATAGAAGAGAGGAGAGAGAATGAAACGGTGAGTATAATGGTCATGGTATGAAAGCTTTTCAGTTCGATTTGCATATCCAATGGGATGACAAGTCGTGTCCTAAAATTTACACACGCTGACGTAGGCTACGTACCAGAGCTTACGCGTCTGGTTGACCGCTTCAAAGTAGAATCTTCGACATAGGATTTCAGGTGTTGCGCTCTGGTAAAAGAGGAATTCGGTGGTCTTATTGATCCTTCTACTGCACCTGAAGCTTCACCGTTGAGCCGTCGGCCTGGATACGTCTTGGTACCACTGCCATTGGACCAAGAAAACATTCTTACTTCGATTGTGAGTTCTGTCGTGCCGCATACAAGACTTGGTGATGAATTCCGGTTAGTCGTAGTAAGTGTTGGCCGTGACTGGACCAGATTGATTCATTCGATCGATCAAAAACTTCTTCTTGGGGTAAATACGATATTTGGGGAGACGAACTACATTGTATGTGCAGCACTCGGCCCCCCCCCTCCCCCCACCACTTCCTCTCCTTTTGCAAATCACAACAACGCTTCAGCATCGCAGCAACCGACTTTGAACCTTGTAGCACGCAGCACACTTCCTCTTTAGCTTCCTCGAAACATTACAAATGAATACCGTGACGAGATCGCTTCGCCGAGGACGTACAGCTTTACCGAGATGTTCGTTAAACTTTTCCTCTGTTATTGGTTCATCAAAATCGCAAAATCGACTCTTTGCTTCGGCCAGTAATCATGAGAAACATCGACCCGATCCCATGGCTCGACGACCTACAGCGAAGTGCGATCCCTTTGGACAGGGTGGAAAACCGTTGGTGCTCGAGGATGCTATACGATTGTCCGCAACCGTAGACAGTGCATGGAAGGTGGAGACGGAGATGAAGGAAACCAAAGAGGGCAACCAACTGGAGCACCCAGCAACGATTGTCCGTGAATTCCAGCACCCAGACTTCATGTCGGCTGCCTCATTTTTTCAGGAAGTGGCTGCAGTAGCCCAAATGAACGATCACTTTCCCTCTCTGACAATGGAACGCAAGCTGAATTCGCGCAAGAAGATGTGGACCATTGTGTCGTCGGTCCGATGTCATACCAAAGTCCTAGGTGGACTATCCCATCACGACTTCTTTTTGGCTACGGTATGTGCATTTCCAAGTGAAAGTGATGTACTCAACATAGCCATTTTGTCCTGCTAACTTTGCTTTCCTTTGTTTCATGCTGCTTTTCGCTTGTGAATCAGCTCATTGATGTGGAAATTGAGCGACCAGAAGTCAAGAGCTTGCTTATGTCGGATAGTGATAGCCAGCAATAACAAGTGCTATCATGGCTTGATACGTCGACAAGAAAGGTTGAAGAAAGGCAACAGCTAGGGGTCATTCGAACTATACTTTTGGGTGTTGGCTGGCACATGTGGAATTGCACTAATCAAGTTAATGAATAAAGACGACACCATAATAATAGTCACAAGAGCAACGCCAACGACTGTCGCTGAAGACCAGCACTTTGCACAAGCAGCATCATCAGGACTTGGCTGTGACGGTTTTTCTTCATGGGGCAATCTCAATTGAAACCTGGTGCGACGGGGCTACTCCGTTGGTATGCGCTCAGGCAACGTGGAATATGCATTTTGGTGCCAACATGGGGCCTCATTTATTTACCCTTACATCATGGGAAAGCCACTACAGTCAATAGATACAGAATGCGCAAATTATGCCCCTCAGATAGAAGAGTTACAGCAGGTAATTTTTCTTTGGATTTGCTTTCATGATCGCCCTTTGTTTCTTACATACCGTAGTTGATTTTATATTTTCAGAATGAGCACGTGCGCGCAATGCGGAGTGGTTGGCAACTCGCTTCAAACCTAATGGGCAAAGCAGAGAATGATCTTGTGTTGCACGGAAAAACTTTGGAACAAGGACTAGGCGAAAGCAAGCTAATTCAGGCTGTGCAGCGATATCAGACTTCAGACCTTTATTTATTCTTTGGAAAGTACGAACTTGCGGCTGACTCGGCACTAGAAAGAGTGGAAGAACTCAATGAAATGCTAAATGGGAGTGTGCGTTGGTAATACTTGATACGTACCTTTCATCGAGCTGTAAGTAGCCGTGCTTGTTTTCTCCACTTTCACTTTCAATCAAACGATGAAACTCACAAATTTGCCAATACAACAACAGACTGCCCTATTTGCAATGACTCGCAAGACAAAGAGTTCCAAGTACACAAAACCAGCACATCGTATTCGGAGAAAGATCGCCGGCTGGGTCAAGGGTGAAAATCCCAACGTCAAGCATTACGAGTCCTTTCTGGAAGCAGAGCACACTGCTTTGCGGGGAAGAAAGAAGGAATATCTGCATTTCCAAGCAGGATCCACAAAGAATGGCGTTTGCAAGCAGAATCACAGCACTCGTTCCACCAGGTATTACACGAGCATTGCACACAATTCTAAATCACGAGCGAAGAAGAAGCCTCAACATCTGCTAGACGCAAGCGTTCTGAGACGGCAAAGGATCGATCTCCAAGACAGGAAACAAGAAAAAGCCGCCCGTCTCGTCACCGAGAGAGCAGTAGCAAATCCAATAGTAACAGCTCTTTGGACTACAGCGACGAAAGCAATCCAAATAAAGAAAGATCTCTTCGTGATGATGCCTCCAAGGAATCGTCATCTCGCCATGCCCGTCGATCTAGAACGGATCAAGATCGAACGGACCGAGTAACCACAAGACGATCCACACGAGGCCAGCGCGCTCCTTTCTCCAGGCCTGGGATTGCCGTCGGTATCGATGCAGCTCTGGGTGCAGAGTCGGTAGGACCATCTGATACGAAATCCTTGGCCGAGCGGCGAAAGACACGTGGAAATCAGCACAAAGACCAAGACAAACGTGATCGTTCATCCAAAAGAGCTGCTAGGTCCAGCAAGAGCCCCCCTCATCCTGGAGCAGTTTCGAGCCATGGGACTGATATCGCAAAATCGAAACGAAGAAGTACATCCCCCAGAAAAAGCCACCAAGATAGAGCTGACAACGAATCCAAGAAAGCTGCAAGACTAAGTCGTCGATCAACTCGACCTGGCGCTGAGTCCAGCAATAAGGAAGACTGTGCCAAAGGAAAGAAGAGGGCTGCAATAAAGGTCCTAGTTCACGGCTCGCCGCTTTTGACGAAGAAAGCGATATTGCAGTGGAAGGAGGGATCTATTATGACAGAGGTCTTGAGATCCAAGCAGAACTGGTGGGAAGTGAGGACAACAATGACTGCCAGAAATAAAAGTGGAGCAAGCAGCAAATCATATGCAACAGCAGATGGAAGATGAAAACGAACGCCTTCGAAACGAGATGGCAGAAATGCGTGTGGCTGCAGCCGCAAAGAAAAACACCAGACGCAAAATCATTGTGGCTTTGGTAGTACTGGCAAAGACCGGTGGGGGCGTTGGTGCCTTTTTTGCGACACAAGGTGGCAGCTCGGAATCAGGTAGTGTTCCAAATGACACGACTCCCGCGACAGAAGCAACTGATAGTCCAACTGATTTGACCTTGCAATCTCCGAGTCCCAGTGGTGTTCCGTCTTTGTCTCCGACTACAGTTCTTTTGAAGTACCCTCCTCCAAGTGAAGATGATTATAATGCAGTCGCACAACAGCTTCCTGTTGAAGGGGAAGAAAGCATGCGTGTTTTGGGATTTGCACTAGATATGGAAGCCATTTTATCGCAAGATATTGAACCAGGTACTGTATTATCGGATATTGAAGCAAAATTGAAATCCATCCTTGTCCCAAGTCTGGTTGGCTGCACCGATTTGGGAAGGAGACAGCTTCAAGGAAACTTACAGGCGTATCGCCACCTTGTCAGCTCCTTACGGTTTGCAATTGCCAACGCCAAGGTCACGGTGAACCTCTCAGACGACGGTGTTTGCGAGACAGAGACTGCACAACCATGCTACCGCATTACAGTTACTTTTGAGGTATCTTTGAAGGGAGAAGAAAAAATTCTCGGCATAATGGGCATTATTCTCCAGTTGTTTCAACAAGATGATTTGGTAGATTTTCTTGCTTTGAACGAACCAGCCGAGTTCCTGCTGCTGATGACACTCGCATCAACGGACACAACGGATGAGCCCAGTGCTTCACCTACCGGGATTCCTAGCATTCCACCATCAATGGCTCCATCGTCGAATCCAAGCACTTCGTCGCCAAGTGATGCGCCATCAAGTCATCCAACCCGAGCTCCAATTGCAGGTCCTACTACTAATGAGCCCACCGAAGCTCCAGTACCCGATCGTACTCCTAGCCCTACCGATGCCCCTTTGACATCTTCCCCAACCTGACCTGGAGTGGAGGCATATTTTGAGAATGGATCGTTCAATCAACAGATTGGGAGTCCAGATGGAAGCTATAGCCTTGATTGTACTGCGAGCACGGAAATTGTTGCACTTACATACAACTCGGATACTTGTGCAGTGCAATGTGAAGGGTCGCTTGGCACTGCATCCTATAGACACAGTTGTGCGGATTCAGTCAAGTCAGATTCGTCTTACCATGCGACTTTCAGAATGAAAAGGTGTTCATTGGGTACATGACCAGCTCCAACTCGTTGACTTGCGGAACTAGCATGACTGTAGTCACATATACACCGACAGCGATGCCGTTCCTAGGATCTAATCCAGCGCCCACTTAATTAGCATCGGACCCGCCGACCCTGTTTCTAACGACTAGTCCTTCATCAGGACCTTCCTATACGCCATCGAAGGAGCCTACAACCTCTACAAGCTCAGCTCCTACCATTGCTCCTACCTTGACCACTCCGTCTCCAACAACTCCCCGAGACATTGGAGATCTACTTTCTGGATATGCCTTGGATGCGGACGCTCTCGACTGGCTTACGAATGTCGATACATGGCCATTGAATGAGTCCAATCCAAATCTCGAGCTCGAATTGCTTGAGCGACATGATATGTTTGTTTTCTACCAAGCAACTGCTGGTAGCTCGTGGACAACAGCAACAGACTAGTTGTCTTCAAAGCATATTTGCGAATGGGACAACGTGGGATGATTTGGATTCAAGGATTACAGGCATCCATTTGTACCATCAGAGTCTCATCGGATCAATACCTACCGAGATTGGTGAGCGATTGCTTGTTGAGACTTTGAATTCGTTTTAATACTGGTATCTTTCGCTTTGTTCCGATTTCTAACATACCTCATGATTTGACTACTATAATAGGTCGACTGGGGAACTTACTGAATCTCAACCTCAGTGGTAACGATTTCGGCTCTTCGAGCCCATCGCTGCCTTTTGAAATGGGGCAACTAACACAATTGACGCATCTTGATATCAACAACTCAAATTTGACAGGGACGATGCCAGTAGGGATATTAGACCAGATGGCAAATTTGAATTATCTGAATTTGAGTAAGTGCCCAGTGCATGTGGACTGCGGAATGTGTGCTGACGGTCGGTATCTCACAGTTGGCATTGATAGAAAATAATAACCTTCATGGAACTTTTCCAGTCGTACCCAGCACATTCCGAGGACAAGGCTGCAGCAGCTGTTTTCTGCAAGGCAACAATTTTGGCAATGTTTGGAGCGTTCTATTCAAACAATGCTTTGTCGATGTTTGCATCCGGGGAAACAGTGAGTGCAACTCTTACTGCTTCCCGAATGACCGTCGTTCCTACTTTGAGGACGCGCTGTCTGGATTTGACCTGAATGCGGACGCTCTGAACGGGCTCGCAGATGTCGACGTTTGGTATCCAAATCCATATAATCCAAGTGTGAAACGTGAAATACTCGAGCGGCATGACTTGGTTCGAGCTTACCTTTCGACACGTGGAAGCTTTTGGACAGTGAATACTCGCTGGTTGGACGGTGGTCATAGTTGCGGTTGGTATTTTGTGGACTGTACCAATTATAAGGTTTCGTCCCTTTTTTTGGCAAATAACAATCTCGCCAGGTCCATTCCCACTGAAATTGGCAGATTCTCGAGTTTGACGGATCTTCACCTCAGCGGCAACGATTTCAGCTCTTCGAGCCAATCTTTACCGACCGAGCTTGGCGACCTAACTCAATTGACCCGTCTCAAAATCTGTACGTTAGTTGCGACAATGGTTTTCTTTGCCTTTGCATGGTGCGATGCTCATCGTTTTCTTGCAGCCTCGTCAGAGTTGAATGGGGAAATACCAGGCGTCATGGACAGGCTTTCAAATTTGACCTACCTGAATCTCCGTTAGTGTTCATTTCGTCATTTATGCCGTTGTTTGTGTAAAGAGTCTGAATATCTCAACCCAAAATATTTCCTTGTTTGCTCTATCCAATACTTCAATACCAGAGGACAACGAACTGGCCGGTAGCATTCCAGCACTACCAAGCGGAATTCAAAGTCAAGATTGTGCCAATTGTATGCTTGAAATGAACAATTTTGCTGACATTCAGAATGGTATTGACCAAAACTGCAACATCACAGTTTGCACCGGCGGTCAATGCAACACCACCTGCTTCCAATAGAAGCCACTGTACTTCATTTGAGATTGGCGCACGAGAAGGTGTAGAATAACATAGTTTACGTTATTTGTTACGTGTCATTTGCCACATTCGTCGAAAACCGGTTGTCGGTTGTTGCTCTTTTTAATAGATACTATTTCCAAACTGAAAGCACACCCTTCCTTTGCGTCTTGTCGTTCGAAAAGGCACCCAACATTGATCGGAACGGATGATGCAACAGCTGCGTAATTTCAACTCTACTCGTGTTGTCGCCGCTTTCCCCGCTTTTGGAAGTGCTTTGCGCGGCAAATTCATAGATTGTCTTCTCCAGAGTACCCTTGAAGAGGTGAAAAACCAGGCATTCTCCCTTTTGCGTTGCCAAGTATACAAAGGAATGACTGATACAAGCAGCCAAGAACACGTCCTGGTCTGACGCTGCCTGATAAGTCTGTACAACGCGACCTTCCACAGTCATCAGGTAGGCAATCGATGAGCGTGGTGCCACGAGCATGAGATTTTGCCCTCGTCCTTGTTGGTCATGATTCGGAACTGTCAAAACAGTGTGGATTGCTGGTTGATCAGCTTGGAGTTGTGTCGCATCAACCACCAACGATTTAGCCGAGGGCGACCGCTGTGGTTGCAGGATGCGAATGCAATTTCCCTGCTGCCATACTCTTACGCAACCATCCGCAGACCCAGTAAGCACCAGTGATAATGTGCCATTATCATCGTCGGAAACTAGAACGTACTGGCAACTGTGAATATAGGAAGTATGCCCCAAGTACTCTTGCAAAATCTTCTGAGACCGCAGTCCCAATTCCCGACACTTTCCATCGGAGCTGCCCGTCAATATGCGAGACGAATCAGGACTCCAATCAATACAGCTAATGGCCGATCCATTGTGTGCTAAAAATTGCCGCAAACACTTGCCACTCGACAACTTCCATACCATTAGTTTCCCTTGATCATCTCCCGAAGCCAAGAGTTCCCCATCGTTAGAAAGTTTCAAACACAAAACAGCCGATTCGTGGCCCATGACGGATTGCTTTTGGTAGGGAAAGTCTGCCATGTTAAGATCGGTACATTGGGAATTCCAAATTTCAATCAATCCATCCGACGAGGACGTAATCAATCCCTTGGAACAAAAAGTGGCAGACTCGCATGTGACACCCTTGCCAAACTTGACCTTTTGCGAAACTTCTTGCGGAATGGGCTCCAAATCCTCAGCATCGTGATCTTCGGGATCTCCCACCACAATGCCATTGTCAGCCGCTGCACTGCCCATGACCAAATCAAAGTGCTTGCGTTTGCGCTTTTTTTTGGAGACTTTTATGGGTACGTCACCTTCGTCTTGATACACTTCTCGCATCCAAGGCAGCTGACCAGTATGCGACTGCCATTTCATGGCTTGTTGCAGCAAAATAGGCAGTCGATTCAGAGGAACTTGTGGTTGCTTTTGAAACTGGTCGGCCAACAATTGTCGGCGATCTTGTTTCGATAGTCGGTTTCCGTACAGGAGTTTCCTTCGCTGATTGATTTCTTCATACTTTGTAGGATTTCCAGCCACGGCTGCTAGCTTTTGTTCTAAACTACGGGCCTTGGTCAATTTGGAAGGCTTGCTGGATCCTCCTTCATCGTCGTCCTCATCTTCAAACACAGCATCAAGACTCTCCCGTTGTAGTTTGAGCACGCTGAATGCGGCATTCATGTTTCCTGGAGCAGCTTCTACCAATTCCAAAATGACTTGTTCGTGTAATTGTGCTGGCGTTTCTTCGCATAGCGAAACGCTCTTGAGGACACTTCCCCAGTCACCCTGCAAACACATTGCCCCCATGGCCTGCTGGTTGACCAATCCTTTGAGGCCCACACCAGACTCTTGTCGCAAGGCCAACGCCGATCGGTGGAGCCCTTGTGACGTTAAATATCCAAGAATGAGCCGCAAAATGTCAGCCGAATCAATGGTGCATTCTCCACCAATTGAATAGGAGGTTGTGAATCCCATTGTTGACCTGCTGTTTGGTTTGTATTGCAATTGTATCGACCGATGATAGTTTTCTCCCGGTCAGACTGGTTTTTCGGGAAGCTATGATTTAATGAGGATCAAAGAATATCGAGAATCTGAAACAGTCCAGATGAGATGAGATAAAATAATTCTCGGTATCTGAAGTATAATATGGATGTTGCGTTTTGGTTTGGATTTGGCAGCGTTGCGTTGGGTTTGGTCAATTGAGCGCTATCATAAGCACCATCAGAAAAATGTTGAAACGGGTCCTGACACGTCCTGACCCAGTCCAGTTTGACATGTTTCTCCGTGCATCCGTCGTCCGGTACACGTACATGTACCGGTACTGTACAGCAACCAATTTTTCGACCCTGACTGGGGCGGGGCGATCCAATAGAACAGTTTCTTGATTAAAACTGGTTGGTCATGTCAAGAGATTGAGTCAAAACTTGAACTACAGTAATTCGTACGAAGTTCAGGAATTATTCTGTACGAATACCGGAACGGATTCCGTCTTCTCTCCTATCTTGGGGTCTTCTTTGTTTTGGTTTCTCCTTCTGGCTGTACTGGAAATCTTCACCGGAGTCAAAAAGCCACAAACTGATGATATCATCAGATCTTACGCACCAGTAGATGCGACTAGAGTTGTCATTTGTAGTGTGTGATAGTTTACGCCATGTATGAGGCCGATCTCTTTTCGACCAATTTAGCGCTGGCATAAGCGCCACCAAGTGAGAAGAAATCCTTGAAGCCTGATGAAAAGTATACTCAACGCGCAAAATGCGCGTCAAATTTTGGTTACGGCGTGATGTGGCATGTGTCGTTACAGTACAGTACCTAGTATTAATACCTGGTACAGTACTGTACTGCAGCGGTATCACCTTTCCTGTCCACTAATGCAATCCTCAAAAATATTGGCCATCTCATCGAACACTAGACGACTTTGGATTGTGTTATAGTCTCGTGCAATACCAGTATTCTTCGTCTTTCCTGCAGAAGGTGAGGGCCAGCAGCGGCCAGACCATCGAGGATTTTTCTCCTCGTCGACTTGCACAACAGGCGCAGCAATATCTCCGTCAAGGATGATGATCCACAAAGGACTCTCTTCGCTCGACTTCAACAGTACCTGGTAACTTGTTGTTGCCTTGTGTCTCACTGCTTATCAGTATCGCGCTGCGCCTTGATCTTCTTTTTATTGTTCCGAGGAGAATCGTGCTACTGGCTGCAGTGTACAGGAGCACACAAACTTGGCAGTGAGAGGTCGGCTCCATGCCTGATCGAGCCCCTCTTCTCACTCATCTAGCCGGTTGTCTGTATCGCGCTTCGTTATTGTTCCGAAACGTACAATAGCACTACACTTCTCACTGTGAGGAATTGACTCCCGATGTCAGGTAGTTGAAGTTGCGTTCGCCACATGGAAGGGGAGGGATTATCGTACAATAGCCTACCAGGACTGCGATAAAACCCTGTTTCGTGAGCACCAGTCAATATATTTTAAAATGCGTTCTAAACTTCGGTGATATTTAAAATCTTCATGATGAATTGTGAAAATCCGAAATAAAAAAGTAAGTCGTTCCGCGCGGTTTTAGATATAGGTTGGCTTCTTTTAGATTTATCTTGGTTCCTTGATTCGTATTTAAAAAAACATCCATAACGGAGCTTTTATAAAATACCTCACCCTCTATTAGCGTCTCCAGTCAGTCTACAAACAGTCGAAAATATCCAAGTATTGTAGCCCCTCATAAAAAAGCCTCGTTGTAAAACTTTTAAACATGAACCGACTCCATCTTTATCAAATCACGGAAATAAATAATGGGGCAGCTGCTCTCATTGTGGACGAGGAATACGCCCAAGGCATGGAGAAGCTGCAAGTAGGCTTGGGACAGCTTCAGGCACATCTGTCGCAGCTTTCAGGCAGCAATATTGAAGATATCTACTCTGACTCTTTGGATGAATGGATGTACCCTGCGGTGGAAGCTCTACAAGTTGACGATAGGTGTGGTCCTACTGCCTCCTCTTTCTTTGTCTACCGAAGGCCACTCGTCGCCCCACCATTGAAAGTTGACAGAACCCACAAAAAAGCAAACGCTGAATATCTGAAGACGCATCACAAGTATGTTACCGGAGAACACACCAATCTTTGGGTTGCAATGCTATTCAACTATGGGCTCGCTTGTCACCTGTCCTACATCGATCACGAAGGGAGACTGAATAATGGATCCCGGCCCGAGTATGATCTACTGCAGCGAGCCAGTCAGATGTACGACCTTGCAATAACAAGTCTTCGTAACTCGGCGGCTTCGAAATTGACTGAAAGACGGGATGTAGTCTCATCCAACATTCAATTCTTCCGAGCAGCAATGAACAATCTGGCAATTTGCGAGCAAACGCGGTACGGTCTGCTTATGGCGTCCTCAACGAATGGACCTTGCCCAATAGATATTCTATTCAACAAAGGCTTTGAACGGCTGCGAGAGCTCTTGAGGCGGTATCCATCCGAGTCGAATGACACTCCCGAAAGAGCCTTGTGGAGTTGCTATATGGCAAACATTTTGCGAGTGGTCAGCTCGTTCCATCCAAATTACTGTGCAGCTGCATGTTGAAAATAGTGTTTTATAGTTTGATATATTGTATAGAAGTATGATAATGTGTAACACTAGAAAACATGGTCCGGAGGCTGCTGCCCCATTATCCAATACCCGTGTGTGCTACACATCAGCTAGTAGCTAGTCGTGCTACTACCATACGTCTTGAAAAGCCAGTTTTGGGCACTGAGATCTATTGAAATTCCATTCTATGGACTTGGGAGAATGTTCCTTCCGCTTCCCCAGCCTCATCCTCTACAGGCAAAGGCACATTGCTTTCTAGTACTAGTAGCAGGAAGATCCCAAGAGACTGGCAAACACAAAGTTACTCAACAAACCTCTTACTTCCCGGGACTGTTTTGAGCAAACGGCCAATAATGAGCAAGAAAGAATCGCAATAGATGAGGACCCCATCCAGTACAAATCATGAATGAAGCAGAGTACCTACAGCACCTGCAGGTATTGTCTTTTTTCGAATGAAAGCATGCACAGGCCTAGAATAGTCCTGACTCAAAGTTCCGCACGTCAACCGAAATATCTTTGCCGGATGATTTCAAGTGTCTGATCTGATCGGATCTCATCGGCAAAAACTCGGTCCCGGCGGTACTGCACCATAGCCCCACGTGTTGTCCCAAATTTTTGCATTCATTCTGATAGAAGGAGTGGTATTTCAAAATGGAGAAAGACGACGGAAAACGCACCGAAGAAGGCTTACAACGGCAGCCTCGGAAGAAGCTGAAAACCGCCCCGCAAAAGCAACAGAAAACGCCTCGAGAATTGAGATTTGATTCCTTCGCCGATTCCATGGATCGGTCGTCGTCAGAGTCATCCGAAGACGAGGAGGAAGCAACCCCTGCTGTGGTACCCGCTACTGAAGGACTTCCGCCCCCACCAAAGCGGAAACGAAAGTTTAAACCGCTGCTCATTCCATTGTCCAGAACGTTGACCTGCCCCGACATGGTCCGAGTGGATCGGTGCAATCGTGTGCCCGAATATGGACCCGAAATTCTATTTTTCAGTGGCGGAAGTGCACTTCGAGATTTGAGTGGTGTATTAAAGGATTACACCCACAATAGCATTCACCTGATTACACCTTTTGATTCTGGAGGATCAACAGCTGAGATACGGCGGGCATTTCCGATTTCCGCAGTGGGTGACTTGAGAAATCGGTACGTGACGGAGGACTACCAAAGTTGTCTGCCTTGTTTATTTGCGTCTGGTCTCCTCATTTTTTGCTTGTGACCAATTCATAGGCTAATTGCCTTGAGTGACCAATCTGCCTTGGGAAACCCTGCAGTCATCAACTTCTTCTCGATGCGGTAAGTCGTGGAGGAGCACAGATTGTATCTCATGGCATTGCATTCGAATTCACTGACTCGATTTCTTGTTCTAACCTTCCCGATATAGCCTCAACGAAGATTCTACAAAGGCTCACGCTGAGTTTGAAAGCATCTTGCAAGGCAAAGAACCGTTGGTCAAGGCTGTGAAAATGCCCATGCGGAGTTTGCTGCGCCGACACTTGCAATGGTTTTCCAATCGAATGCCTACCGACTTCAATCTATGCGGTGCTTCGATTGGAAATCTTATCATTACAGGCTGCTGGCTGGAACACGATAAAGACATTGTGGCCGCCCTGTACATTCTGTGGAATTTGTTGGGTGTCAAGGGAAAGGTCCGACCCATTACAGGGGCTCATCTGCATCTACGAACACAGTATGATAATGGTGACGAGGATGTGGGTCAGCACTTGATGGGGAAACGTAAACCGCCCCAAAAGATCAAAAGCATTGATTTGGTCAAGTCCTTGGAGGATGGAACGACCACAACTCGACAGGAGACAAAGCTTTGTCACTTGGACTTTGTCTCATCGGAACTGATTGCCTCCTGTGACCTCGTTGTCTTTCCCATGGGCAGCTTTTTTGGGTCCATGCTGGCTAATTTATTGCCTGTTGGAGTTGGGAAGGCCATCCACAGGTGCCAGGCACCCAAAATCTACATTCCTAATACTGGGGTTGATCCTGAAATGCATGGCTATACCCTATCAGAATTGATTACCTGTATTGTTAGCATGGTCGAAGATGATTTGCCGAGAGGTGTGAAAGAAGAGGATAAACCGCCAGAAGACGACACTGTCGATCCTTCTGACATCGTGAATTTTGTCTTGGTGGATACAGAGAACTGCCACTACTGTGTCCCCATTGACAAGGAGGTAATTGAAGCAATGGGTATCGTTGTCATGGATATGCCACTCGTCAATCTGGAGGCTGCAAAACACTCGAAAAGTCCAACCATTGATCCAACCAAACTCGCACAAGTACTACTTACTCTTGGATCATAAAGTCTTGGAAGGCAAGGAATTTGAGATTATTTTTGAAAAGTATTCATGAAAGCTGTGAAGCTGTGTTCAATGTTACATATGTGGAGTGCAATCAATTGGTGATAAATCTAGGACTAAACGATTGACTGCACCTTATGTACAATGCAATCAATTAGTGATATAAATCTAGTACCAAATGATTGACTCCAGCTTATGCACAGTGCAATCAATTGGTGATATGATTGACTCCAGCTTTTTGTTGAATGAAGCATCAACATCAGCCATGGACCACGTCTGTGGATTTGCTGTTGTAGGCAGCGGAAGGAATTAAAATTGCTTGTTACTCCGTGTCCATTAGCGGGAGGCCACTGCGGTTCGCGTCTCTTCCAAAACGTGTAATGGCGGGTTGGCGCCTTGTTGAAACTAGACTGCAACATCATGCACGTTCCCGTAACCATCGTTTGACCTGCTCCACTGCAAGTTGTATCAATACTGTACCAATAGGCTTCATTCCAATGCTCATTCCAATGAACACTTCTTTTCTGAGAGCTCCTTTTTCGTATCCCGTATTGCTTCCAAGAACTTTCGTCCGTAAACGTCAGATGGTTCCAATGCCATTCCTTCTGCCCATTCATTCATTGCATTTATTAGGACGAAGCGATCGTCATCTTCGTGCTTCGTAGGCAGAAGTTTGTCTTCAAAGCAGCAAGTCTCATAGTAAAGAGCCGAATGCAAGCTCTTTTCAAATCGAGAAACCACTTCGGATGGGTCTCCAGTCGCAAATAGATTTGCTTCGTCAAAGTTGCGCCTAGGAGTATTGTCAAACGAACTAATGATACCAGCAATATCCTTCAATCGTTTGTTCGAATGACCATTTTGTCGGCACCAATGGGGAATCTCCAAGGTCCGGTTGGCCGCCCAGTCCGATGGATTTGGATAGGATACAACCTTGTCGTACAACTGGAACTTTTCGACTCGATCCTGTTCGACTTTGAACTTGCGAACCAGCTCTTTGTCTTGAATTGGCAGCAAGTGATCGTGATTTTTGGTGAGACCAACGGTGAGCATCAGTCCTCCAAACCCATCTTCCATGGCCAGCTCTTGGAGCCTCTTCAAGATTACCATTGCCCCAGGCTTTTTCTGATACAACATGAACAATGGTTTGTTTCCTTCCACCTTGATGTAGTTTGGATGATGAAAGAATTGTCGCAACCATTTGTAATGTTCCTCTATTTTGGGATCCTTTGGATCGATTGGGAAATATTGCTTTTGCAAGACACCTGGCTCCTTGAACACAAAGTTGGGTGACACTTGTCCACTCCAAGTGGTCATCCATTTCACGGCACACCAATGCAAGGCAAACGGCACATCTGGGTGGCCATCGGCTAGCATATTTATTAATGGTTGATGGAGGTTCGGTCCTGGATGCTCCTCATCATAGAACCAGTAATGATGATAGACAAAACCATCAATCCCATACTCCTTGGCGAGGGCCCCTTGTTTCTGACGTGGCTCTTTCTCCGTCAAGTCATAGTATCCAAGTTCCGTCGGTCGAGGAATATGATCACCGTTCCGATTTTGCAAGGGTGCCTTTTTCAGATTGTCCCAATCGGTGAATCCTTCACCCCAGAGCTTGTCGTTCAGCTCGTCGCGGTGATATTGTGGAAAGACAAGAACTAACACTCGGGGCAATAGAAAATTGGAAATTTCTGCTTGAGTTTGTTCTGGTTTCTTGCCGACTGATTGACCCATCGTAGTGGCATACGAATGGGCAAAGTCTTTGAGGTTGTTCGAAATGGCAGCCCCAGTCGTATCGGGTATGTCAGCATTGTGCGTTTCAGTATCCCCAGAGTATAGACTACGATTCACCGCAGCATCGTTACTATTGACTTGAGTTACTAGGTAAATGTCGGCCAACATGACGGCAATCAGTACTATGCCAAAGCAATTCAAAGAGATCCATTTGGATTGCCTAGTTTCGGGTCGAGATCGGAGGCGACGATAGCGCTGTGATATCGCCTTATTATGGAATCCATCCATTCCAAATTAATTTCTTTGTTGCTAGTTAATCACCCAATAGACTTCCAACCTTTCCGCATTGTCGTGGCCGATGTGCGAACCGGATGGTGCTGTTCGTTCGATCGTTTGTTTGAAATTCAAAAATGCATTCGACTAAAAAGACCGCACGTCCCTAGAGC